GCGGAGGGGCGCGGAGGGGCGCGGAGGGGCGCGGAGGGGCGCGGAGGGGCGCGGAGGGGCGCGGAGGGAAAATATTCTGTTGCGCGAGGGAGCCAGCGCAGGATGTTCCAACTGCTGCTTGTTTCCTTAGGAACCGACAGATTTTGATAAAGTAATATCTCAACTGATGAGTCGCTGCAACAGGTCGAGTTCATATGATAGAAACACGACCGAGATATCGAAGAGAGGAAAAATGATTTGCCCCGGCTTTTGACATCGGAAAAGTAATATTCATATTAACGAACTGCTGTTATAAGTCTTTTTTATTAAAATAGTATAATTAAAACATAACAGTTAATATATCAATGTTCAACTGTGAGCCCAATCCCGCTAAAAATGTAGTACGTTGAAACAAATAGTTATCTGTAAACATGTGTAAATAATAGCAAACAACAAAATATTCAATAAACTAGTGAGTTTCTTATTAAGATTTGATACATGGTACAAAATTTGTAAAAATAGATCATTAAATCTTGAAGTTTCGGACCCTTAAGTTCGAGATCTTTAACAGATGTAAAGCAGAAATCCCTAAAATAAAGTAAGTGAAACTAAACCAAAACTAAGAGTTAAGTGTTACTAAATATAATTGAAGATAAAAGTTAAGAGTTAACAATATAATTAAATACGTATCTGATAAAATTATTTATACATCACCCATGAATAAGTTGAAAGGAAACAAAGGTATAATGTAAATCCAACATGTCACCGGGAAACGATGAAGAAAACCACATCTTCAGGAAGATGTGGACCGTAATGATTAAAGGATTAAATGAAGAGCTAAAGCAACCCAAACTCTATTGTTCAGAAAGTCATGCTCAATTTGGTTGTGGTCTTTTCATTATTAGGTGCAATGGATGCACGAGTTCCATTAAAACAATATTGGACGCATTCTGAAACCGTTCTAGGGGGAATTTCATTGGTGTTACTAAATAACACTTGTGCATTCGAAAATTTCCATATAAATTCCCTGGCTGTACGCGTCTCGTGAATTTATCAGAAAATTTCAATTTCATCGTCGTATTATCTGTCAATATAATACAAACTAAATAAAGATTTAAAGACGTGCTTAAAACTAAAATAAAGACGATTTGATTTGCCGAAATAGCAGCCCTTAGAGGAATTAGCTTTTTGTTAATGAGTTGAAACTTAAACCGTTACCGGTGAAGGCAACGCGTCTTACAATACGGCACTTAAATGATAGATAAATCCAAACATTGCTGCCCAACTTGAATTAGACCATAATTTCTTCATCACGAGTGATAGCAGATAATTGGAAGATCATTCAAAGAGCATCCAAACATTGCGAACGCTTTACTTCAATTATACAAATGCTGTCTTCTTGCTCCATGAACAAAACTCGTATTTAAACAATGTATCGCAAAAGTTCAACAACCATATTCAAAATCCTATTTTCTGAGAAAATATCAGTTTTCGTAAATCGTTCTCCATGGTTTCTACAGAAAGTAACAGAGAAACTTGAGTGTTTTGGGTTAAGATAACCAACCTCTCTAACTCTTCCTATTTAATATGATGCTATTAATTTATTCAACAATTACAGTTTGATTTATAGAATTTCACGTGTGGTACACGTGCTTTAGAACGTTATAAGCGCTTAATCTTGCTTCTCGAAGGCGGCAGCGTTTTCTCAAAGAAGCTCCAAGAGAACCCACATCGCCCTCCAATTTCCGTCATGTTGGGACCGCGCCTTGCTATATGTCGTCAATCGGCACCGCAGTATGTTTGCTCGGCGCGTGCCTTCAGGTACGAGGTACACACTCCCCCGCACGGGGACGCTAGAAGGAATATATAAGTTCCTTGGTGACAGGGAGTCGAGATAGGAGTGAGGCAGGGTGAAGGTTGGGCGACGCGAAGAATGAAGAGGAGGGCGCGGAGCAGGGGCGGAGCGGGGAAGGGCGGGGC